TTCATAGCATTTTATTTTTTGTTTTTTCCTATCTGGACTATACTTTTTTATGCTTGATTTTATTCAGATATGTTATATGAAGTTGAAGTTTAAATGAAATCTAACCCATTGATCAAAAAATGGGCTTCACAGCTTCACCATGTCACTTCACAACCTCTATCATACATAATTAATACATAATTTATTTATTTATTTTTGTAATTGTGAAAGATGGAAACAAAATTAAAATGAAACCCCAAAATTACAATACACAACAATAGTTTCTAGTGAATTAAAGCTAGATTGAGAATGCAGGAAGGTTTGGATTTGTGACTCACAGTTTGTAAAGTTTACACTTGTTTTTTAAATCGTAAAAGTTAGAAAAAATCTACAATTTCATTACAGTTACCTCTGTTTTATTTCTCTCTTCAACATAGTTACAACGCACAAATACTTAAATGATTCAAAATTATTGTATTTCCATTATGGAAAACTCCAGAATTTTGCTAAATACGACCTTAGATTACCGTAGATCGTTTATTGAAATTTACTTTAAGAGATATAATTATATATTTCTGTGCTGCATCAATAAATTTAGTCCTTTATCAGTTATGTTGGATTTTGTAGAATTGCTATGATGTCTATAATATTCAGTAATAAACATGACATGGAGATGGAGAAAATACCTTTATAGCAAGGCCATATTTACTGATCTGGATAAGATAAGACTTTCAATTCACTCTTCACATCGACTCAATAGTCACTTATTTAATAGGATTATTGCATAGAGTATTAAATAGGTATTTAAATAAATAGATACTTTAGATATTTATCATTGCTGACTCATATTCAACCTCCTAAACTTTTGTTTATTTTGATTTTTTTTTGTTTATTTGTTGTTTACTTTTAGATATATTTCATTTTTTTATGTATCATTGCATGTATTTATTTATTTTATGTGTCCAGGTGAAGCACTCAAGGGCCAAAAAGAATTACTATTGTAGAACCGATGAAGCGTTCCATCCTGGAATCATAAAACTAATTTTTAGGCTTTTCTACATACTTTGACGAAGGGCTCCTACAGCAGTGGAGGACACTTTATCTTTATTATATAGTAAAAACTTTCTTTAAATATAAAATTAGTCACGCCCCGTGGAAACCAGCAATGAAACAGCAGCTGTTGGTTTATTAATTAGGCCGTTTTAAATGTTGATGAATACAAAAATAGGTTATTGTGGCAATAGGCTTTTCTACACAACAAAGCACCTACAACAGATATTATAATAATACATAAATAGGCCTTTATTTATAACAATAGGATGCTTTACAGGAGTTTTTTTTAATTAGTAATGAGCATTGAGGATTTTCGTCTTGATTAGCATTCATTAAGCCTATGTAGCACACTGCACTTTCTCTCCCTTATAATGGTTTAAAAAGCCAACAAAAAATGTTTGACGTGTAAATTAAGTATTTAGAATATTGTTTATATTCTTTAACATTTCATTTAATTATTTCATCTAAGAAGGAATAAATGCATAGGAATAACATGGTCGTTGATTATCTAAAATAATTATAAATCATATAAATGGGAAGCTTTTAGCATGTTTTCTTTAATAAAATTAATGAATCATTGGTAAGGTAAGCGAGAAAAAAAGTCTGAATGCTTTTATCTTTAGCAACAAGTGAATAAAGCTGATTGTCTTGTGTCTGATTGTCTGTATAGGAGTTTACCATTTTTTGTTTTTGTAATCTTTCACCTGACGAGATCCAAGGTGGGTCAAATAAATCACAGTGAAGATCACGTTTATTAGCTTTTCTCTGTTCAGCAGTTTTCTTAATATTACCACATCTGAGGCTATACTGTTTATTAATTCCTTGGGGGTGAGACAAAGGAAAAGAGAAACTATAGAGATGTATGGTGTGAAGGTAGACGACAAATAGAGCCACGTTCGATATGCTAACGTGAGACAGTTTTCCAGTACAGGGCCTGCACTTAGTGAGGCATCATATGAGCGATTTGAAGCACTCTCTCCAGTCTCTTCAACCGCAATTTACTTTATCACTCTAAATGGGGAATAACGACGCTCAATTTCATGAAGCATCTCTCTCTTTCTCTGACAGAAATGAACAGAACACGGGTCAAAGAACGGAGCGATGGTTTCACAATAACTCCACCTGGATCACAAAGTTTATCGCCAGGGTCTTTGGTTTGTTTTGATCTCTGCAGGGTGCAATGGTGATACTGCGCCTCCGGTCTGGGACCAAGTCCAGATTGCAGCTTCAGCACCAGCTCCCTTTTCTCACACCCTCCCACACGGTTTCTCCTGCACACTTACACCAGCCCACGCAATTCTTTCTGCTGCCCACTGATGCACAAGGCCGCCATATCTTTTGATGGTGCAAAGCATAGGGCAGTGATTTTTTTTTTTTGCTTATGGTTGCTGGGCTAAATGGATTACTTCATTTCTCTGTTTTAAACTAGTCTGAGCAGACTTTCCGTGTGCGTTTGTGCCCATGACGGTATGTGCGTGTTTGCGTGTCGGCGATGCTTGCTGTGACTGAGTGATTTAGTATGCATGTGTGGGAAGGTGTGATTCTGATGCATGAAGGTGCGAGTCTCTCTTTAGTCCTTGCGCCGGGTTGTGGAGGTCATTCCTTTTCCACTCGAAGGCTCTGATCATTTCACCTCATGATCATTTCAGCAAAACCCATGGATCACACAGGAGGAGTTTCCTTTCAAATTCCCTTATAGTTCAGATCATTTAAGGGGAAAAAATACTGCAACCAAAAGTGTTTGATGATTCTTTAATATCATTCTAGTTGCACCTGATAGACAGTTTTTTATTACTTCTTTCCTGGATGAGACTTATAAAATATCAGCTGTTTACACTGTGAAGCAGGATTATACCGCGAGCCGTGCTTGATTAAAAGCATTTCTCTGTTTGTCTGCCCACGTATCCTAGAAGAAGAACAAAGCTCTCGAACAGGTTGAGCATCAACACCAAATCCCCGATGCAGCCCTTTGAGCTATCAAATGTGAACTGAAATAATCTATATTATTTTTTTTTTCATTTTATCAAAGCCCCATGGGATGTGTGTCCATAATTCTGGTAGGAACCACTTGTATTTCATTATAACCTTAATTACTAATAGCTAACTGTTTGGATTTAGAGATAAATCTGTCAGTTTGCTTCAACTTGGCTGCTTTTTGATAAATGCAACTCTCTAATTAATAGTTTTTTTCTAATGGTTACAATTAAATGCAGCCTTTATAAATCCATCAGACTTGCAGTGCCATGAAACAATGACACTTTCTTCCCATTTTAAAACCTTTCATGTATCTATTATAACCTTTAGGTCTACAAACTATGGCTATGGGGATACAGGTAGCTCTATGGAGCTTCCAAAGAGTCTATTCATATTTTTGGTAATGATTGAACTGAGCAGCCTACTAAAAGCAATGAAGGTGATAAAGTTACTTATTTTAAAGTTGTTTTGGTTTTTTTTGTTCCTTATCTCTGTATTAGCATCTTTGTAACGGAACACAGACCTATTGAAAGGAACCACTTTTCCCAAATATTGAGTAATTGTCATTATTCGGTTGAAGAATATTAATTTAATGCCTTTTTTTTTAAGGTTCGAAGTATTATTGTTATATTTTTTACTTAAAAACAATATTTTAAAATGCAAACCACAGCTTTTTATTTTAAAAAGTAAAATAAATGATCTTATAATGAAAAAAAAAATAGTTTCTTATGTTTTTTGGGGTGCTGAATATATCTGATTTAGCTGGACCAATGGCATGAATAGACAATTAAAGTAGATGAAACGTGTTTGGTTCAAACTTTATGCATTTCTTTGCATGGCCTAGTCAAAGTCCAGGCCTAAGTCCTATTATAATCAATGCTATACATTTAATCTGAATCATCATTTGCTAACAAGTATGAGCTCAAGTTTCATCCTCTAAATGTACATATTTCCATATACTTTAAAGTACCAATTCTGGCACAAACCCCCTGAAAAAAAATAATTTCAGCATAGTACTATAAATTTGTGACACCTTCACGACTTGAAACAGCATCGTGTCGCAGGCACACGAGTAATTATACTCAGCCATTACCCATCCGAGCCTTGACACTGGGCAGGCCTGTCATATTCCCTCATAAGAGGAAATTAGAGGGATTGCGATGAGAGGGGATGTTGCTAATTGGGACACGGTGCTGAGGCTGGCTTGTGTCATGGAGTTAAGAGGTATTTAGAAAGAGCAGCAGACCTGCTCACGCTACACTGATTCTAATTTATCTCCGGTTCCCTCTGCCCTCCCTTGCATTAGCTCAGACCTGCCATGTCATGCCTGCCATGTCATGCCCTCTGCCTCTCTATCTTCTGTCTAATCCATACCAGTCCCCTCTACAGCTTCTACTTCCAGTTTTCTTTCCATCTTTGTTCACTCTGGTCGTTCTATCATTCCTGCCTTTAGCTCCCAATGGTGGATCATTGTGTTATCCATTAGCCTCTGGTTTGACAGACTAATTGTCTTTGTCCACTGGGGTTTCAGTCAGGCTGACCCTCTGAGTCCTACATTTCCAAGAGAGAGCTGCAGAGTTTCAGATCTGATTGGGATTCTGTCATTTGACATTTACAGAACATACTGGTCAGCAGCGTAGCAGAAGCAAATGTATACTATCCTTTTAACTGTTTAACCCAGAGTAAAGAAAAAACATCCACATGAACCTTTGTTGTTTATTGCCGTTCTGATTTTCTTTTCTGCCCCTCGCTGTGCAGCATGATGAAAGGGTGAACAAAACCAGGCAGAGATAACAAGCCGGCAAATCAAAAGCTGTTTTTATCTTAAAAAAAAAAAAGGAAAACAAGTGTGTCTGTGTAGAGGAACCAGAAGCTTTCATTCCGCAGGATCGGCACAAAGTTGCCCCCTCTGATCTTTTCTACGCTCCCGTATGAATATTTATGCCACCTTTTTTCGAGTCCTGCATCAACTTTTGCTTTCTTCTTGTTCTCAGGGGCGTTGCACGAGAGAGAACTGCAAATACCTCCACCCGCCCGCTCACCTGAAGACTCAGCTGGAGATCAACGGACGGAACAACCTGATCCAGCAGAAGACCGCCGCTGCCATGTTGGCTCAACAGATGCAGTTCATGATCCCCGGAACCACCATGCAGCCTGTGGTCAGTGCTGGTTCTCAGCGAAGCTCCCAACTTTACTGTCAGGGGGGGAGAAATCACGATAAACATGCATATTATTGTTGCTTTTAATGCTCCTCTGCAAACCTCAGGAGCTTTTTCCGCCAGTCAGTGGTGGTCTCTACCAGGTGTGAATGTGTATCCAACTAAAACAGAACCTGCTTACTCAGCTAAACCTTTCCAGAAACAGAGGTTTTAAAAAGGAAACAAATTTCTCACTTTCCGCTCTTGCCGAATCCTCTTCATAAACATATTCCTCTCTTTTACCCCAGCTGTTTGTCTAGTTATCAGTTTCCTTACCCTCTCTCCCATCTATCTTCATCACCGCTCATTATAGCTGCTCAAATAGAATGAACTCTTAACTTTTTTAGCTCACTTTATTAAATACCACTAAGAATAAGCTAAAAGACTAAAAATTGTTACAAAACTCTCTGGCATATGGGGTAAAGAAATAATTTGTAGCTTGATTTGATTGTATCCAGTGAAGCAGAGAGGTTTAAATATCATATTCCAGCTGTATTACTTGTGTCCTTTCTCCCCATGATGGAGTTTTCTCTATCTTCAACAGACGTTTCCAGTCAGTCAGGGCCTGGGATCCAGCGCCGGTTTAAGCTACACAACTTATCTGACCCCGATGTCCCACGGCATGGGCCTGGTTCCCACAGACATTCTGCCCAGTGCGCCCGTCATCGTCCCCGGCAGCCCGCCCGTCTCTGTGACGGCCGGTTCCTCCTCCAACCAGAAGCTTCTGCGCGCCGACAAGCTGGAGGTGACCTAACCAAAGTGCCGTAGCTCTTTTGAATAATATTTATGCTGCAAAAAAACAAGAGCGAATGCTCAGATTTCTGTTGATTAGGATTGGAAAGAATCATAGAGTTACTTATTTTTATGTTGCTTCCCTCCACTGTTCTTCAGCATAAGTCTCTTAAAACAACATGACTTCCTTTACAGCAGTGATGTGAAAATGAGTTATGATAAATCACTGTGATCCAAAGTGGAATTAACTCGAGACAAAGGGGTAGTCGCTAGACAGCCGCAGCCAAACTGAGCCGTTTCAAACAACTCTGAATGTCTCCATCTGCCCTCTTGGCAAACAACTCTCGAGAATAACTGTGGGATTGTGAAAGAATCCACGAGGAGGAAGGGGAGGGGTTGGATTTTTTTTTTTTCTGCACCATATTTATCAAGATAAACAGTAATCTACCTAAGACCTGAAGGTGATGCGTGGGCGTGTGCCTGTATGTGTTTTTCTGCAGGAGTGCCATCACTTAGCAACTGAATGAAGCTGGCTTTAATTAAGCTGTATCCCTCTGAGACACGTACACACTCCTACACACACACAAAAAAGTGCCAACATGCACGTTCGCGCAACTTTTGCACAAACATGTAGGCGGGATTTGTTATGAACGTTCGTATATAATGTTCCAGCTTTGGAAAGGAAAAAAAAGATATTTCATATTTTTTTTCGCCTGACGCCTTGTTTGTTTCCCACCTTCTCCTCCAGGTCTGCCGCGAATTCCAACGGGGCAACTGCGCCCGCGGCGAGACGGACTGCCGCTTCGCTCACCCGAGCGACAGCCCCATGATCGACACCAGCGACAACACGGTCACCGTGTGCATGGACTACATCAAGAGCCGCTGCTCCCGCGAGAAGTGCAAGTACTTTCACCCCCCGGCCCACCTGCAGGCTAAAATTAAGGCCGCCCAGCACCAGGCCAACCAGACGGCTGTGGCTGCCCAAGCTGCGGCCACAGCTGCAGCCATGGTAAGATCACCACACCACCATCAGGGCTCCTTTTATAACTCTATCTAGATAATAACCCTCTATGTTTACAGCTTTTTGTGACAAACACTATCAAATGTTTATTTTCTGTTTATTCTGGGGACTTCTGGAAGTTTTTTACTATTTAATCTTCACTTAGAAAAACTTCAAACACCTCTCGCTTACAGCATCACGCAATGTGGAGCCCTGCTTTATTACTGCACTAAACGTCCTCTGTTGATTTATTCCAGCACACTCTAGAGCACAATTCACCAACAATAGTCATTCCAAAGAGAGGCGCTTGTATACAACAAACAGGGTTTAGTGAGACCTAAACAGATCAGCGTTGACGCCGCAAGAACAATCTGTTATTATTTCACTGCAGCCTTCTTTTATTTTCCAATGCCCTTGGTTCATCCAGAGACAATGCGTCGGCTCAACCCCCTCCAACCCTCTTTACTGCTCTCAGTGATAAGTGCAGTTCTCTGCAGATCACTTGCAAATTGAATCAGGGATGGATGTAGCATGATGGGGTGGGAGTTTCACCCTCCTTTAGGTTGAGTCATCCCCACCGACAGGGGGGGAAAAGGTAGACAAGGATGTTAAAAAATATACAAAAAAAAACTCTGCATACAGTTCTGGCTGTTTCCCCAGAGGCATGGAGTGGCTTCCTCTGATTGGTCCTTTGGCTACTGCACTTGCACACCTTGCACTGCCCCAGTGTGCTGACTGACTCCCTTTTCTTTTCCTCCATGGCATGGGCATGCTTTACAACCTTTGCACATACTGTACCTCTCACTGGCTGGCTCCATTGCTGCTTGCTGTCCCTCTCTTTCCTTTATGAACCCACGGTGTGGATGATGAGGCAGGTTGGCTGGATTTGTTCCCACGCAGTTTTATACAGCCTTGCAAAAGTTTTTAGACCCCTTAAACGTTTTCCTATTATGTTACATCAGTTTGTCTCGTTTTATGTGGTTAGCCAACGCTAACTAGAGCACAGTTTTGTCGTGCATTTGTATTTCATTTCATTTTCTATTATCTAACTTGATCAAATCTGAGGAAACCAGTTCCCTTAGTCCATCTGTGTGCTATTTAATCCCAGTTTAAACCAGGCTTTTAGGGCTTTAAGGTTTGTTGGAGAAGATAAATAAACAAACGGCATTATAAAGACCAAACAACACAACAGACAAGTCAGGGATGAAGTTGAGATGTTTAAAGTAAGGTTAAGTTATAGTATAGTATACAGTCTCCTCAGCGAAGCATGTTAGTGGCAGCATTGTGCTGTGGGGTTACTGTAGGCTGGAATTAATAGACCGACGATTTCAGAGCTTTTGAATTGGTTTGAGTCATGAGTTAAAATGGTCTAGTCAAAGTCCTGGTTATGTATTCCAGTTCCAGAGTAGAGTAGTGAGGCTGAATAAAAAATTAATTGCTCAGTTATTAGTGTTTTTGTTTTTTTTGTTTTTTTTAAACAGCTCTGAATCCTTTTTAACAACGTGATTCTCCAAAATAAACACACCGATTCTTTTAGTATCATAATTTAGTCTTGTGTGGCTTGTGTTTCGGCTGCTTCATCGTTATAGCATGCAACCCTCATAGACTTTATCGTCTTTATTACCCGATTCCCTAGCTCCCTTTAGAGTTTCCAGTCTGTGCTAAAGGTGAAGAGGGTTAAGCTCAGGACAACAAGTTGTTTAGTCAGCACCTTTAATCCAATTGTCTTTGAGCTCGCAGCCTAAGCTGCAGCACTTTTATTGAAGCAGATCCATAAAAAAATAAAAAATCTGTGCAGATGCGGCACTAAAAATAGGATAAAAAAAATCCCACAGCGATCAGTAGATAAGATTACATCGTCCGACGCGGATGCAATAAGTTGTTTAACCAGTGCCACGCTGTGTTGTTTTTGCCATGCTGTGATCTTCTACCTCATTACAAGTCAAATGCAGCCATCTTTGCCTGTCATCTCACTTTAATACAGCCATCTTTCATTTGAACTAACCAGTGTTTTGAGGCCTGTTAACACCGCAGCCCATCAGCAATGCATTGTTGCTAATACCAGGATACCTATGCAAGCGCAGAGTGAGAAAATCCACATACATCAAGCAAGAGGCTTGTGCATGGACCATCGTATTCATGTCTTATTTTTTATTTATTTTTTTCCTGCCCCGACATTCGCTTGGATTAGGAAAATAAAATTCTTTTAGTTAGCATAGTGCAAGTTAGATTTTTGGACTTTTTTTTTTTCTTTTTTTAACATAAGATTTGGAATAAACAGAGCTCCACATTCTGTTGTTAAACTCCAACTTGTGCACCTTACGGTTTACTTTAACCGTTCACCAGACAGCACTACAGAGATGGGTTTGAGGCTTATTTCAAATATCCCCACTTAGAAACCTTTTTTTTTTGTGTGTGTGTTTCGGCTGCTAGTTATTCTGAAGGTTTTCTTTTAACCTGAAACACTCAGACACTTTTCTATCAGTTAGTTGGTACAGGTCACATATTTACTGATTGTAATCAGCTTTGTTAATCCGATGTATTTCCAGTTCCAGAATAGCTCTCCAAAATTATCTGATACTTCTTGGACAATTGCTTTTTAACCAAAGGTTAATATAGCAGCTTTTTTTTTTTTTTTTTTTGCTTTTGTACTAATTATAATAGTAGCTATGTTTCTTTAAAGTTAAACGAAACAAACCTTTTTTTGTTTATGTGCATGCCTATTGTTTTGTATGTGGTATACTGGCATTCAGATTATTTTTGTTTTTGTTTTTTTTCCTTCTCACCTATCCACAATGTAATGCTGTCCCCCATGATGCACCTCTGCTTGCTGTTACCTGTATGTTAATACGCTTGAATCCCATTGGCCCACTGCCATCATGTGCTCGCTGCCTGCTAATTAAAGACTCAGTCGACTGCCAAAGCAATGAAGCGACCCCTCGAGGCAACTGTAGACCTGGTACTTGGACCTTTCACCTTTTGCTTTGCATGTAGCTTCTTTAATTGTACTTGTAGCCACTCGCAGAATTTAATTTGGCTCTTCTGTTGTTGTGAAACCCTGTAAAAGACACTTTTACTGTGTAGACGTTAATCATTTATGATCACCTGTGGATTTTCTAGATTGTGTTTTGCAGTAATGAACGTAAAGCTAAAATAATTCCAGCTACCCTGCTACTTTCTTTAATGTGTTTCCATTTCTTGCTTTTTTTATGTGCATAGAGAGAAAAAAATTAACACTTTACAATAACACTGCTGTTGATTTGAGTGAGGCTGAAGTCTCAAAGTCTGTGCTTCTGTTTGTGTGTGGCAAGGCGTTCCCCCATGGTGTCCTCCAGCCCCTACCAAAGAGACCAGCACTTGAGAAGAGCAACGGAGCGAGCTCTCTGTTCAACCCCAGTGTTTTGCACTACCAGCAGGCGCTGGCCAACGCGCAGCTCCAGCAGCCTGCTTTCTTTCCCACAGGTAAGATCTTTCACTTCATGCATATGGCACACAGCTGCAGACAGATGCACGGTTAGGAATGCGTAGATCTTAGCAACGATGGCTGCAATGGAAGTCTGTTTGCTGCTGTTAAGGGGAACTCTGGTTTATCTCCTGTAAGGAAATGCCTTAGACCAGAGAATCCCCCAAAAAAGTTTGCATTTTTACTGCTTAAATTTTTCTAGTTTTCTCAAATATTTTAACATTTTAAAAATATGCTAATTTCACCCCCTCACAGACACCATAGACAATAAAGACAAGCAGAAACAGGCTTTAGGGTGATCTCAGACTTAATACCGTCCCTTAAACCTCTCAGAATTTTGTTTTGTTACAACCACAAACCTGTAGAAGTTGTATCCGGATTTTATGTGCCAGACCAACACAAACTGGTGATTGATTGTATAATAGAAGAATAATAAAACACTGTTTACCAAAAAAGGATTCTGCTTTAAATTATATACACAGCTTACCACCTCCAGAAGGTTGGCTTAATAAAAAACAGGGAAAATCTGTGTAATTATTTATGATCTGAGATGGGAACATCTTTGCACAAATCAGAGCAAAGATGTTAAAGAAGGTGCTCTGGTGTGATGTGACCAGAATTCGATTCTTTACCCGATAAAATACCAAATGTGTTTAAATTCAACCTTGATGATCTTTCTGTTAGTAGCAGCATATCGCTAAGGCGGGGGACAGCATCAGGATTCCAATTCACTAGAAAATAGAAGCTAAATGCAGGAAAAAAGTAAAAGACGTGTGGAGGTTAACCTCCCAGTGTGCAGACAGGGCTGAAATAGTTTAGATCCATTTGATAGAATGTCCTAGTCAAAGCCCAAATCTCAGCCTTTAAAGAAATTATGCCTTCCAATAACCTTAATCATCCAATCCGACTGTAGCTTTAGCGGCTTGGCAAAAACGATGTCTTTTTTTATTAATAATGAGACATTTTGAAAGGAAGTTTTACTCTCAGACCCATTTAGAGTTAATACAAAGCTGTTTTTAATTCATTTCATAAATTCCCGATAAAAATATGTTGGATTTTCAGGCTAAAGCAGAACTTCTCTAAAGGGTTTGAATACTTTTGGAAAGCAGTATGGCTGAGCTTACTCCAGCTGTAGCAGCAACAGGGAATCATCTTTTTTTTTTAATTATTTTAACAACACATTTTTAAGCTTCAAGACGCGTTTAAAAAAAAGTCTATGGCTTTGTGTAGAAAGTGTAGGAAAGTTTTCCATGTATCTCAATTAACCTTAAACAATATAGAAAACAACCCACAAGAGATTTTTATCTTGATTTTTTCCCATCACCTCTTCGATTTGTGTTTCTTCCCCTTATTTATAACAAAATGTACATCTCTATATTTCATTGAAATAATATCCTCCCCTCAGTTTTTATAAAGCAGTTCTGCAAATTCATTTTCCAGCAGAAATATAAAGTTGAACTTAAAGTCAGACTTGTTAAAGTCAGAGACTGGATGTTTGCCTTAGCTGCAGCTCCTCCCACTAATGCAGATCTCTGGAAATAGAATGCCTCCGCTTGCTTTTTTTTTGACTTTCATTATTAGTTGGCATCACCGCGGTAACTGTGGCATCTGAGCTGACTGATGCTTTTTGTTTTTGTCTTGTCTAACTTTGTTGTTCTCCTCCTCCTCAATTAACCCATCTCTTCCCTCCTCTCTCTCTCTCTCTCCCTCCCCTCTGTGTCTCACTCCTTCTATCTGTCCTATTCTGTTTAAACACAACAGGGTCAGTGTTGTGCATGACCCCTGCTAGCAGTCTTGGTAGGTCCTGATTTTGCTCTCTCTCTTTCTCTCTTTCTCTCTCTCTCTAACACACACAAACACACAAGCTTAAGGCTGATGTAGAGGGAAATGGTGTCTGCAGCTCTTACAGGTCAGACAAAATATCCTCACTACCCTGTGCCACCCCTTAAGGTGGTGCTAACACGGTTACAGATATATTTTTTCTCATCAAACTTTTAATTTCCTTGCCCTCAAACGTTTTATTTGCACTGTGCATCACCTAAAGGAGTCGCAGCTTAAAGCTCTTATTTCCCTACTGATCGACTCTGTTGCTAATGACTGTTTTGTTTATGATTAAAGTGCTGATCAAATGTGTTTCCTAAGCTCTAATATAGCCTCTGCTGTGCTGTGTTAACCAGGAAATTTAAATCAGTTTCCCAGAGAAGTTATACACGTAACCTGGAACCCTAATGAGATGATTGTTAAAACCAAAGTTATGGCGCCTTGCAGAAGTATTCACACCTCTAGAACTTAAACCACAATTTTGTCACTTTGCAGCTACAAAGAAAAACCTCAAAGTTTTGCCATTTGGAAGCAGAAAGGAAAAAGAAATAGTTTTATCAAACTTGTTTTGAAAGAAAGAAATGAAGATGTGGCTTTGATCAACCTTTTCTGGAGTTTTTTTTTGGGATTTATTTATGAGATTTGCACATTGGGTCACTAAATATGCGCAGATTCTTCGTGATCTTAGCCAAATTGTATCTAACTGGTTGTTTCCAGGATAGCTATGCATCTATCCCCTAACTGGCCTTTTCCTGGGTTATTTATTTGACTTTTGGAATCCTGAAAGTGTGATATCTTATTTTATTATGACACTTTTCCACAAAGCTCAGATATTACTCATCAAAAATATGAAATTCTCCTCCTTGTTGCTGCAATGTAACAAATGGGAAAAGGTTTAAGAGATCTGGATATTATTTGCTAGGCACCAGCTATAAATAACTAATTTTACCATGTTTTAACAAGTTCCCTAGAATTGCATGTGCTCTGGCATTGGCTGTGAGGCGTCATCCTGCTGTTCAGTGAGTCGGTCCAACTCTTTTTAAAAGGAGCATCACAACACGCGTCTCGTATCAACTTCTCTGGGAAAGACCTAAAACTGATTTGCCGTATAAATTTCCTAAACCTGTGATTGTAATCAGCTTCTCTCCTCTTGTTTTATTTTTTTTTCCTCCCATGCTGTCCTTTTCTTCCTCTCTTTCTATCTGTCCTCCTCGCTTTGCATTGTGAATGGTTGCATGCCCTCTGCCGGCGTTACCCTAACGATGGCTCGCTGGCTCTCTCCCTCTCTCACCACATCCACCAACATCGACAAAACGCTGCCGTCGACACACGCTCCACGACTGTTACCATGGTTGCCATAACGCTCCACCTACCTGTTCATTGCTCCCCCCTCCCTCCTCCCCCTTTCCTTCCTTCTCCTCAAAAAAACAAAAACAAAGTCCCAATGATGTACAGTGCTACGCCTGCTACTGTCTCTGCAGCAACAACTCCTGCCACAAGTGTCCCCTACGCAGCAACAGCACCAGCCAATCAGGTTTGCTCCTTTTAAAGCTTTCTTTCATCAGTCCCTGGAGCTCTGAATAAGTACTGCCTCCTAATAGTTGTGCTGAAACAACCTGCAGCTTAACCATACTCCAATCATCCATGTGGCTGCACACAGCTAGTGTCTGTTTTCCACCCAATTTGAAGCGAAACCAGTGTCTCGTATTCCCATTAAAATCAGTAAGGCACTTCTTCAGAGCTCCTACATTTGCGAGTAGTACTTGTGTTATGTTGCACCACTTCCTGTTATTTTTGTTTTGTTTTGCATGTTCTTGTCGTTTGTTTTCTACTCTTCTTGTCTTAAAAATAATAAAGCCTCTCCATCTGCAGCAGGGGACATCATCTGCACCGCAAACACGCATCCGAGCAGAAGGCTTGCATTTAATCTACAGTTGAAAACCAGATATTTTCAGAACAAAACAGTTTATTTTTGCATCAAATTAAAGCATTTTCAGTTTTAGATTGCTTAGTTTTGCTAAACGTGTGCTGAATGCTAAAGTAAAGGAGGTTTATTTATTTTATGCACATTTATTCTCTCATTATTATACTGAGGCACTGATCAGAGCTTTTCCATAACTTTATTATCTGTTTACAATTCTGCTCCATTTGTCGTCTATTTAGTAAAGTGCACCAGTCTCTTCTGCAGCAAAACCTATGATGCTGCACTGCAAAAACAATCCAGAAATAAGTAGAAACGTCTTAAATGAAGTGTAATTACCTTTAATTTGAGTTGGTAAATAAGATGATCTGCCAATGGAATGAGCATTTTTACTCTTAAAATAAGATAATTAGATAATATGCACTTGAAATAAGACAATGCATTTGTTTTTGTTTTTCTTATTTTAAATGTAAATTGTCTTGTTTCACTAGCAAAGTGTGTCACTTACCTCCTCAATTCAAGAACAAATGCACTTAATTTAAGAAAAATTGACTTATCTAGATTGGGAAATTTTCCAGGGTGCTACTGTTGTGCTGCACAGTTGGATTATAGTTCTTACATTTGAAAGCTTCCCCAGTGTTACACTATTAATTAAAGCAAACAGATTTTATTTTGGTTCCCTAAGATGTTTACAAACATTAAACTGTAATTTGATGTCAAACAGTGAGAGAAAAATCACTGTTTGTCAATATTTGGTTTGAGTCGTATACCCGTTTCCTCGTCTTTGCTTTTTTCATCGATGTGGAATTAAAAGTAAGGGATAAATCAAATGAGAAAAATAGTTCCAGGATACGTTTGTTAGGGTCAGACAGGAAAAGCAATCAGAGCTGTCTATAAACGGCCTCCCAATGATTCTCCTGTTGCCGAGCGTCGGAAGGAGGGACAGGTTCGACTGCCAGGCTGAAACACGTGTGGCCCATTTTTAACCTGGAAATTTCAGGACGGCGGCGGCGCTCTGGCCTCTCTCTTTCTCTCTCTTGCAGCTGGCAGTCATTTACTGCTGGATCTGTGCAGAGGTGCTCTGAGGACACGCAGAAAACGTGCTCCACATGTTAATGCGAACCTCTTTTTTTATTTTTTTTTTTAGTTTTTTTCCCCCCTTGACATTCAGAAAACGTTCCCCGTCTTATACCAATATATGACAACGATCTTTTAACGATCTTTCAAAAGATGCAGGTATCCGGTTTGATGAGAACAGATTAGACTAACCTTTTGGGTCAAAAACAAACCAAAACAGAAATTATTCATCCCATCTCCATCCCCGTTAATCACAATCCGATGTCGTATTGCCCCTCACAGACCAGCAGAGCGCCACTTCCTGTGAGTCACCGTCTCTTCCTGTAATTGGCATGCAGCAGCAGTAGCAGCAGGAAGCAGAGCCACTCTTAAAAGATGCATGTGGGACAAGGAGCTGGAGAAAAGGGTGACGTCAGCCTTCGCTGTCTGCCTCCCTTATTTATTTTTCTTCCTTCTCCTCTCCCACCCAGCAGTACGGAGGCACATCATCACCATCATCCTCATTATCAGCTGTGCTGCATACAGTCCACGCCTTGTTTTACTCCTCTTGTCCCAGTCATGAGGTTTTATCAAATACAGAGGGTTTTTCTTTCTTAATGACAGCACATGTTGCATTGGTCAGTGTTTTCACTTGCTTGCATCTGGTTCGAATCAGTTTTTAAAATCTTGGCCTTTGGTTTCTTATTCAGGCCTTTAAATATAAACAAGACAAAAAAAAAAGATTCTTTAAAAAAACGCACTTGAAGAGGGATATAACTAATGCATACCCCTAAGATTGTGGCAGACAGAGCGAAAGGTTCAGCGTCTGGTCAACTCACGACCCCCAAAACCATCAAAGTGACTCGACATGAAGGAGCCAATCACATCACTCCATGTCTGAGGCATAATATTAACCATGTGCTGCCTTTGCCTTGTCCCTGGTAACATCCCTTCTGCTGCAGGAGTCTTTCAGCACTGCAGCCCCCTCTAGTGGCAGACTAGATTTACTTGGATGCATAGATTCAGCAACATATCCGGATGGTTTTATGATTCTTAACTAAATCATCTTCTGTGTGGAACCTCCTTTTTGCGGCCGGTATCGCTGCTCTGAATTCCTTCCCCATTTTACGTGAATTCTCCTGCGGCCTGGGCTGCAGAGGGCTACCATCACACTGGGTGTTGTTTTTTGTGTTCTGTGTGAAGGGATCAGCGGCTTCTGTCCTGCTGGCTGTATGCTAACTGTTAACTGGAACCATGCAGGGCTTTGTTCTGCATTGGCTCTCTGCCTGGGGCAACCAACAGGGTGGCAGCCTGCAGCTCCTCCACCTCTACCAGTTTCTGTCACCTGATTATTGTCCATCTTTCTATTTTTGTTCTTGTTGCATATGGGTTTTTATCTCTTAAATCGAGTTCAAATGAAGGGTGACCAGGAAATTAAATATATATGTCTCGATCTAAGATATAGTGGTCCCAGAGATTTTTCATATTTAACCATACGCTTTACAAAAGAATATATATTTTTACTTTTTTCTTTATTGAAACAAACTAGAATCTGAAAAGTGTGGCACATTTTACTCTCATAGCCCAGATTAAAGAGAACGAAGTTTACCGGTCAGCCTGGAGGAAACAATTATTAGTTTAAAATATTAGTGATGAATCTATTATTGAAATATTCATCAACTAATTTAGCAATCAATTAAACGTTAATTGGAGTGTAGAGACTCTAAAACATGCATTTAGCTGACAGAGTGACCCACTTAGAGCAGTCATTATATCATAATTGTAAAAAAGTATATGAACATTTTGCATTTAAGATGAAACAAATAATTTTTGTCTGTCAATTCTCTCTATCCAAAACTCCTAAAGTGAAAAAGTTTTAGTTTCACCTGGTTTGATTTTGTAAAAAAATATTCTTTAAGGAACCTTTTGATATTATTATGCGATTAATCTCAAAAAATGATCGACATATTCATCCATTTACAAAATAATCGTTAGTTGCAGCCCTACTGGAGGAGCAGCAGACACAGTGGTGGCAGCACCATGCTGTGGGAATGCTTTGCTTTATCAGGGGTAGGAAAGCATGTAATTAGTAAAAGTTGAGAATAAAATGAGGATAACTCTAGAAGCAGCATAGTTACTTTATAAGCATATATGAAAAAAGAACAAAATCCATAAGATTATAAGTTTATGTGCAGGAAGCGTTCATCCTGATGGGGTTAATAAAATTCCAGCACTCTGGGAGATAAGTCGACATAAACAGAACTAACAGAGCCCAGCTGTCCTGCAATGCTTTGCGTTAAAGCGATATTAATTAAATAAACCGATCTACAACAACTCTAGATCTAATAAAATTTCCCCTGAACCTCCTATCAGAACATTGAGGGAAAAAAAGAAATGTTCCTCCTACCAAATACAAAACAGCGAGACGTCATCAAAGTGAGAAATATTTTATTGAACTACATTTAATAAAAAAAAACTCATTGGATAAAGCATTTTTATTGAAAACTCAAAAACATTTAATTGATTTTAATCAATCGACAAAATCTATCGATAATTTAATTTGTACTCAAGACAGTAGAGACTAAGAATAACATTATCATCACTACTATCAGTATTATTTAGAGGTGGGTAAAGTATCCAAAAATTGTACTCAAGTAGGAGTAGCACTACTTTTAGATAATTTTTTTTTTCTCAAGTAAAAGTAAAAAGTAGTCATCCCAGAAATGACTCAAGTAAAACTACAAAATGTATTCAGTAAAAACGCAACTTGAGTACCGAGTAACTGTTGGATAATAACATCAGATTAAATGTCTATAAATGATGCTGGCAGATAGACCGTATGTGCAATAAATATGAAGAAACAAGAACAAATTCATGCAGCAGAAATACTTATACCAATTCCTTTTCAATATAAATTCAGAAAATCAATCCGACAACTTAATATATGTTAGGACAGGGTAACAAACTTCCACTGTTAATATCTACTGATTTTGGAATAGTTCAAATTACGCAAAGACGACAGAGAAATCAGATATTTTACTTAAGTACTTAAGTAGTAGCAATACTTTACAAGAGCATTACTCAAGTAAAAGTTAGTAGTACGGCACAGAAAACCTACTCCTAAAAGTAAAAATTTTTCCAATTGTGACTCAAATTTAACTGACTAAATGTAAATAATTACTACCGACCTCTGGTATTTATTAGGATGTTTACTCAAGCAACTGTAGACTTTGCAACGCCTCAGTGAACAGCATGTTCTTACTGTATTAGCAGTCCAATTCATTCTTCCTCCTAAAGTAACACTGGATCTTGACTAATCTTCACTACTTCTTTTTTTTCTTTGGTTAAAGTCGCTGACTTGCTAAAGCCCCACTCCTTCCTTGCTTAAACATTGCCCGCATGCATATGTATCCCGGTCATGCGTTGTTGTTATTGTTAATAACATAACACTGAAGGGGCTTTATTTACCAACAAACTGAACGAAAGAAAAGCCTAAAACAAAAAAAGAACATGCCAACATGACATGGACGCTGTAATATTTCAGAAAGAAACGTATTAGCTTAGTCATATAACACCACTATGTAAAGAAAACCTGTCTGAGGCTGCAGAGAAGTTGAGGTTCAGGACATTAGCAAACAGCCAGAGCTGCAGTGGATCCGTTTAGATCATCACAATCAGAGGCAAGACAAAAGAATTCTTGATTATCGCTGATGGCGTTCTTACCAATCTACTTTGTGTATTTCTATCTGATGAAAAGTCATTGATAGACATTGTCTGTGGTTGTACCTGAATGTGAAAAGGAGCTATGGATAAGAACACTAGACGGTTGCTATCCGCATAGGTTTTGATCAGGTGCAATAGTCCCAACAGTTTTAGACTTTACTTTCCCCTCAGATATGAGCTCATTGTGGCGAATCTTTTGCATGCCGACTAAAATAATCTCCCCCTTCTCTTGTTTTTGTCTCTCTGGCTTGCAGATCATCCTGAAGTGAGCGTCGGGAGCGAGATGGAACGTCACGAAGCCGCACTAGGAAGCCCAAAACAGCCCCTCTGTAAATACTACCTTGCCTCTCCCCCAGAGGTCCAGCAACCTGCATGCTAAGAGTGTAAACACTTCAATTTAACCACAAGGACTGCAGTGCCGGTGTAACTCACACACAGTAAACAAAAGATATATACATATATTATATATAAAAAATAGTGTATGTATTGTTAGAAAACGGAATACGCACATGAAAAGTCACAATTATTCTTATGTATAGTGCATACATAGATACACTATAGCCACAGTGGGATCTCTACTCTTGTTTTAGAAAACCCTTTAGTAGGTTGAAGAAGGAGAATGGAGGAGCACCTACACAGCCACACCCTTTCGTTTAGCTTTTTTATTTCAGAAGAGATCTTTTCTCCCTCTTGCTGCTTATTAATTATCACAGCCCCCCCCCCAGAAGCTGAAGCTCTTGCAGACATTTTATCCCTGGAAACATCTTGCCAAAGCTGCGGCTTGGATAAGGATGCCATAGAGCACACACCCTCCAAATTCCATCTTGTTTTCTCTCCCCCCTCCCTCCCCGTTGCTGCAAAGTCAACCTGCTCGCCCTTTATTTGCTGTGAGGCCAATCCAGCTTGTTTGCATGCAGTCAAGACCGGAGAATCTAAAGGCTCGAGCCTGTGCCAAGGGCTTGACGAAGCTGGAGGGTGAACTTCAGACATGCCAAGCCTTCTGTGTACGTGCGACTGTGTGCGTTGTGTGTGTCATATCAGGAAACTGATGGTCTGCCGGCAGACTGCGACTTTAAGCGAGGACTTGCAAAAGATGGTAACTCCAAACCTGGTGGAAGAGTTTCTTCTTCTTTTTTTTTTTTCTTTTTTTTTTTTTTTATGAAGTTTTAGGACCGGGGGACATGTGAGGGACTTAAGTGCTAAATCTAAATGAAAACAACACAAAAAAAAAGTTTGTAAAAAAAAAAAAAAAAAAATTATAAATTAAAAAGAAAACTGTGCATTTGACAACATTCGTCAAGCAAAAAGATGACTTGAACTTGAACTGGAGGGCTATCTGTGACCGTCGGTTGTCCTGTCCAACCCTACTATCACCGATAATCCTGTTTCCATTTTAGAAAACTGTAGAAGTGCCTAAAAAAAGAAAATAAAAACAAAACAAAAAAGAATTTCAAAAAAAAGCTCATCGACGACACACTAAACACCCAGGGCTGGATCACTAAGAGTCACAAAAACCACCGGCTGATAAAACCGCATCTTTTGGGGGGTTTTTTTTCGGGAAAAGACATTACACTATGTGTTGCTAGGAAACACCTGCCTAGCAACCGCTCATTTTACATCACAAGTGACTTTACTGAAGGAAGAGAGCTTGGAGGATCGACAAATCAAAACTAGCTTTGTAGAATGTCTGGTGACGCTTCAACGGTGTATCCGTCGTTTCTTACATGGGTTTCAGTAGTTTACATGAGGAACGTGAGTGAGAACACATCGTATTGTAAACTGTGTAATGTATGTAAAGTGTCTGTCATTTTGAAAGTTTCTATTCTAGAAAATGTATTCCGACTTATTTAAAGAAGTTGTGTTGTGTCTACTATTAAGGTGTGTTTGAACCTTCGCCTCCCGTAATGAACGTTCACATATATCTTTTTTTTTTTTTTAAGGCCAAGATCAGAAAAAAAAGATAAATTATTTTGGTTTTACTTTTTAGGTTTTTATTTTTATTTTTTTTCTCCATTTGATCAAAAGTTCTGGCACGATCTGATGGTGCTTTGATCAACACTGACAATCCACAATCAAAACAGTTTGTTTTCACGCACATTGTGACGTTTTTGTACCCTGTAGCCGCAATAAGCTGATAACGGCCGATAGCTGGCTTTGATCATTTTAAATGGAATAAGCCCAATAACATAAGAGGTCGGCAAAACTCCTATGAAGCTTTTGAGCCAATAACATATTCTTCTTTTGTATTCAATTAGAAATGTTCCTCCTGCCTTCTATCACGTTTCACAGTGATCTAACTACCAACTACGCTTCAAATTATTTAAATTGTCATCGGTGCATGAAAGCATGAATCTATGCATGAATTTCTTATTAAATATACGTTGCAAACTATAAATATTTTAACATTGGCTCTTAGAATCAGCTGATCTTTAATGAACAAACATGACCCTTATGTAATCCAATACATATTTTCCTAAACAGCACAAACACTATTAATTTTCAAGAATTACACTTTTTTTTATATTTATATATAAATATATATGTATATATATTTATCTTTTCAGTTTAAGGATGTCCCCTAAAAACGCCCACTTCCTCATAGCCTAAAAGGCTGTTTTTTTTTTAGATTTCTTACATTTTTGTCTCATTTTAATGATAGTATATTAAAAGTTTAGTGCAGAGAAGAATATTTTGAATTATATCTGGGTTATCTAGACCATTTTGTGATGCAATAATTAACTTTATTTTCATGCAATAACCCAACAAAATACAACACTGACTCAATTTAGACCCATATGTTAGCTCTGCTGCCCACTAGTGGTAAAAAAAAAAAAAAGACATTTTATGAAGAAAAAAACATTTATTTATGTTTGTATGGAAAATTTATTTGTTGTTTTCTCCTTTAACAGATGCTAAATTGAGGAAACTGTTTATTGAAATTGATATGATTTGTCAATGGTCTCACTCTGTGATGCCTAAATAAAGTATATAAAATAAAGAGGTTTGTGTAGGATTATACATTAGTAACTTTTAAACTGAAACTTCTAAACCATTTTATGAAAATCTTGTCCCACCAGCGTTAAAGTAGGCAAAAATAGTAACTATTTAAATATAAATGAAGGGAAAAAAGGGTCTTAATATGCTAGTGCTACTCCAATAGTTATGTTAATGGTTCAAAATCCTCATTAAATTATGTGTTCTTTAGTCATTATGACGTTTAAAACGGGCAGAATTATTATGCGTTTGTAAGGTATTACGTTATCGGTCAGTATTAGCTTATTAGCTGCTACGTACCCTTTTTTTAAGGCAGTAAAATGACCTGTTTTGTTGTAACTTATCTTAAGTCACGTGAGATTTTACTCAAAAACAATGTTGTAAACTATTCTGTTTTGAGATGAATGTAATTTATTGAGCTGTGCAACGTTTCTGCACGGGTCGGTCGTTTTTTTTCTTTTCTTCAAAGATCGAGCCCTCCGTCGAGTCGGCAGACAAGAAGTCACACGGCAGCAGGGGGGGGGGGGTGGCGTGAGCCCGAGAAGCCCGCGCCTAAAACGGAACTGGAAACACCTCTGGATCTTTCTCGCCTTCTCAACGAGGATGAAAATTAAAAGTTTGATGTGAGGAGCGTTAAACATATTACTAGAGTTGCTTGTGATATCGGAGGAATAAAATAAAAAAAAAAAAAAAGATTATTGTATAGATGACATTTTATCGACAGGATTAAAAAAAAAAAGTGAAAAAAATTTAAAGAAAATTTTGAAAAAGATGTACTTTTCACTCTAGTATGATAGTATTTCATAACAATATTAAGTTGTTGCGGTGGCAACCAAATGTTGCAGTTACTAAAGTTTGGTATTTTTGTAAATTACATTGTTAAGTTGATTTTTTTGTTCATTTGTTCTGTTTGTTTCTTTTTTTTGCTAGAACTCTGTACACAAAGTAGATTGTAAAGCAATGAACATTTCTTATTCTTCGATGAGAATATGAGAGTGAACTGATATTTTCATTAGCAAATAACAGCCTCTATACCGACTGTAACACTTCTAGATTTAAAATCATCAATGTTATATAGATTACATATGAATATATATATATATATATATATATATATATGTAAGAACTAAATAATCTATAAATTAAGTTCAGATGAAAACTCCCCTTACAAAGGACCTTTAAGTACCACACAGACTTTTATTTAAATTGTATTTATCCATAGATTTTAGGATTGCACTTTTTTTCCCCCACTTCCTTTAGACTTTAAAAGCATCGGTAATTAATTCGACATATTGTTGCATGAAAAAACTTTTCTTTACTTGCTAAATGATAACGTACTGAATGTTTTTAAAGAGGAAAATGAAAAAAAAAGTCCGAACAACCTTCAGCAACCGTGTGTGTTGGATCCTTTTCAGATGTTTTGTTGAAATGCGTTGGTCGTTATCGAAAAGATGGTTTAAATGAGAAAGAGAGGGGTGGAAAAAACAAAACAAATGTAAGCACTTTCTGAGCAGTTGGTCAACTGAGCAGACTCAGCTTATTCAAACACTTTGCCTTATCTTGAGTCCATCGTGCTTGAGGTTTTATGTTTTTAAGAGCTCTTATGAAATACATAAAAAAAAAATGACTTGAACGGTCTCAATTCTCAAATCCCCTCGGAGTTTCATTTCAAATGTAATTCTTTATATCTGAGGTGTTTTTTTCTTATTTCTTTTTTTTTTTCTTAAAGGTTTTAATGTGTGCATCAGAAAGCCAACAGGGAGGACTGCAAACCAAACTTATCTCCTGGATCTGTAGTAGCCTCGTATGGTCCCATTGCCTTACAATGGAACAGTTTGAGTGTGTAATTCACAGCTTTTGACAGCAGAGGGCACTACAGCTCAGACTGCAGGTTATATTCTCTTTTACAAAGTTAAAATGACAATAAGACCCTCATTGGAATCATAGTTTTAATGTAATCCTTTTAAATGTATTCTTTTGCATATATTTTGTGCTATTTTATGTTTATATAGTCGGTTGTTTCTTTGGTTCAAGCGAGATAGTGTAAAATCTATTGAGAGGAAGAAATAAAGAAAATAAAATCACTTTTGTGTTTGGTCTTATTTCTTGACTAGAGTTTGAAGTTTAAACTAGAATCATGTGAAACCAGCAGAGCTGGAACATCCTTTCCCTGGAACGTCCTTGCTCTGGTGTTTTCCCTAAAGGCCTGCTTAAAACCCCACAGCTGGACCCAAATCCCTACAGCCGTAAAAATAAACAAATCTCCAGCATTGAGCTGACTCAGACCTGCATGGTTATGGGAATATCCCAGAGTTCAGCTGTTGCTTTTATGAAAAAAAAAAATGTAGAGGCCACAGTTAATGCATAAGTATATGTTTTCTATCATTTATATTTTAGGGTCATTTCCTGTCCCTGCAGTTAAGCAAAAAAGAAGATGGGTTACTAATGTCCTCATATAAATGAGATTGTATAATTCAGTTAATTGCGAATATATTAGAAGTAAACCTATATTTATGAGAAATAATCATTGTAACAATACCACAAGACTGAAGCACTACAACTAATTAGTAACGCTCTGTTAAATATCATTAAAAATAATAATTTCTGCTGAGGAATAAATTACATCATATTTATTCCAACTTAAAGGGGCTAATATTAGACTAAAATGGCTGTGACATGACAACACTCCCAGGTTTGTACAACCAGGTTCACTCCCAGATCAAAATAAAACATAAATAAAAACTAAAATGTCATTACGGGAACTACAACGGGTTAAAATACATACCTGTAGAATCAGATTAGCCATAAATTGAATACAGTAGTGACCCCAGAATAGAGGAAATATTTGTTTGTTTTTTTGGGGAGGGAGAATATACCACCTGAGAAGCATGGAGGTGGAAGCGTCATTGTTTGGGGATGCTTTGCTGCAACAGGATCAATTCAGCTCAACATCATAGAATCCATTTTGCTGCTTTCTTAGAAATAAACTACTATAACAAATTTACTGCTGAGGCTTGAGAATTAAGCATGAACTAACAGGGAACTCATGTCATTCAAGACCTGCACACAACCTGGAGCGCCCAGAAGTACCTTTTTTTCTCGATTTCTATAGGGACTTACTGTATTTAGTCCATTTCTTTGTTCAATTTTACCAGTTTAGCAATTGTTCCTGTTCAGGTCTCCTTATGTACATTAGTCTTCCTCCATCAGTTGCCATGCTTACATTTTGTCTCAGCTGCGAAACATTTCCCCTCATTCTCCAGATCTCCCTCAGCTTATGCAAGGACACATGTAGGTTTTATCTATCTTACTATAGTTGTGTTTCCGTTACAAATGTGCACAAAGCTATGTCGCTCTTTCTGTTCTACTTTCAAAAATAGAGCAAAAAGAGCCTATCAAAGCTTAAAAACTTTGCATCGAATTTAAAAATGTTTTCGTTAATTTAATTCAATTGTAATTATTTTTATTTTATCGCAGTGTTTTAATTTAGTAAACTTATTTTAGTGATGACAGTTTGCACAATTGAATTTTATAATGGAAATGGAGGTTATTACAGTTTTGTTTGCAAACATGTGGTGTGTTTTACAACACCAAATTCTAAACAGCTGGAAAATATTTCATATTCATCATTAGACTGTCTATGTATGGAAGAAGATTAGGGCCACTGAAAACCGCCTAATTATATATATATATATATATATTGTATGAAATTGTGTTATATCAAGCTGGTCCTATAGTCACTCTATTACATATGGAGTCATGTAACAAACATAATTTAGCCCTGGGATTTAGATTCCTCATTGATGGGACAGGTGTTGGTAATGAAACGGTGCCCAGGTTTGAAAGCGCTCCTGTGTGTCGCTGAATGTGTGCATTGATGACTGAAAGACATCTTCTGCCTCCATTTATCTGTTTACTACAGTGTGTTGAATTCATGTTAATGTGTATTTAAAGATATTTCAATTATTGGGGAAAAAAATTATTTCAGTATAATATGAGAAAAAAGTCAGAATTCTGACTTTTTTCTAAGAATTCTGACTTTAATCTAAGAATTCTGACTCTAGTCTCAGAATTCTGAATTTAATTTCAGAATTCTGACTTTTTTCTCAGAATTCTAACTGAATTCTGACAACTAACAAACATGTTAGCATCAAGCCATAGCCATGTCTGTTTTAGACTGAACTAGCTCTCTTGTTTTACAGTTTTTCTGGATTGTTTACACACATTTCTGAAAACATGGCTCGTATTCTCAGAACTCTACACACAAATCCAACAAACACACACACAACGGGTAAAACCCTTCAATTCTCCTGCAAAATGAAACTTTACATTCAAAACAGTTTTATTTCTTCACAAAAGGCCATTTTGTGTTCAGATGACACACACAAACTATCATATGAACAGACAATTAAAAAAAGCATTTAAACACTGATGTGCTCAGTGTAAAACACCATTCTCCATTCATCATAATGACTTTTTGTTCAGTGTTACACTTACTACAGACATTAAATACATAAGTGCGTTGTAAAATATTTTAGAATATTGTTTTTATACTCAGAACACACAAATATACTGTAACAAACATGTTTTATTTTTCCCACAAAACAATGTACACAGTATACATCCCAACCGACACAAAGTTGCACATACAGTGCAGAAGATTTTACTGTATACAGTTACAGTAATAAAAAAACAAAACAAAATAAACTATGCTGCATCCTCTCTTCTGTTTCGGTCTGGCCACAGCACCTCATCTACATCACAAGCAATGTTTTCCCTGGCCAAGCAGCGGGGGAAATATCGCCTAGCATGGCGAATCCAGCCATGAAAAGCATCAACTGCTATATCTCCACATGCGTCTTCCATAGCTTGGAAAAGGGGTATACGCGTTTCTGAATTTAGGTCGTACACTTTCCATCTCCAGGCAGAAAAAAATTCCTCAATAGGATTGAGGAATGGAGAATATGGAGGGAGATAAACAACTGAAAAGCGTGGGTGGTCAGTGAACCAGTTATGAACCACAGCAGCCCGGTGGAAGCTTACGTTGTCCCAAATGACAACGTACCTGAGCTGCTCTGGGCCGTCTATCTGATCTGGTGGAATGAGTGTGTTGTGTAGGGTGTCCAGGAATGTGATCAGATGGGCAGTGTTGTAGGGGCCAAGGGTAGCATGGTGATGGATGATGCCATGGTGGGTCATCGCTGCACACATTGTGATGTTCCCTCCGCGCTGGCCAGGGACTTCAACAATGGCACGCTGGCCGATTATATTCCTTCCCCTCCTTCGTCTTTTTGTGAGGTTGAATCCAACCTCATCAATGAAGAAGAACTGGTGCTCCACTGCATCCACCTCCAGCTCAAGGACTCTCTGAAACACACATGACAATATCAGAAGTAGACATGGAGCGGTCACTATTGTGAAGCACAATCATTATGATTACAAAATAATAGAAATATGTATGATTTATACAATGTTGACAGTATGCATCAAGGGTGGGAATGTATAGGACGTACTTGCACATAGTTATATCGCTATTCTTTGACTCTTTCTGAATTGCGCTCAAATGGCACCCTGTAGACCTGCTTCATCCTCAGTTTATTTCTGTGCAAGACATGGTCCAGCGTTGATAAACTTACCCTATCAATATTTTGAAATATCTCATTGTTTTCTATTGTTTTTCTTTGTATTTGCCGTAAGGTAATGGCGTTATTTTCAAGAACCATGTTCATGATCTCTGTTTCCTGTTCAGGAGACAGAAGACGGCCCCGTCCACCTCTTGTTGGTAATCTTTCAGTTCTGCAATACAAAGAGTGCAATACTGTAAATACTGTGTAGAAATACATTTCCCAAATACTCGAAACACAATGTCCTACAGAACAGTCCACAGGTAATACTGTACTACTGTACTCATTGAGTACTGTATTGATATGCAGTACTGCAGTTTTGTAGTGAGAGTAGATTTCTTACCTATTCTCATTGCGGAAAGTCCGGATGATGGATGCTACAGTGTACCTGCTCAAATTTGGCTGTACTCTTTGCCCAGCCTCCCTCATTGTTAGGCCATGGTTGACCACATGGTCAACCAAAGTGGCTCGGATCTCATCAGAAATGATTGTCCTTGGCCTTCCTCGTCCTCGCCCTCCCCATCGTCCTCCTCTTACTCTCACTCCTCTGGCTCTGGCTCTGCCTCTGTTTACAACATTGGCCTCCATTGCTCCAAAACAGAAGAGCTCACCTGTTGCCTTTTTATGCTAAAGCTCTGATTGCTGAGTGGAAACATGTGTGTTAGGTGTTTGCCCATGTGAGGAGTCAGTGTGCATAGTAAGGAAATTAACTTTAGAGTTTTGAATAACAGTGTGTTCCTTGTGAAAACAAAAGATTTTCTTCATGACAATTGTGTGTAGAGTTTTGGAAAAAGTGTGTTTTAGAACTGCAATTTGAGTGTAAAGCAGGAATTGTGCTTGTAGTTTAGCCGAATTGGTTCAGGGGGTTGGTGCATGAGTTACATTTTGTGGTCATTGTGTTTCAAGTACCAATATTTGTGTGTAAACAATCGAGAAAAACTGTAATCACCTTCTGCTCCTCCATTAATGAAACAGCATCACCGAGGACCCCTCGGGTACATAAAAAAGTCGCCTAATTCCAATTCCTCTTCCTTCATGGTGCCCATCTACATTAAGATCTAAAATTCTGAGATTAAAGTCAGAATTCTGAGAAAAATTTCAGAATTCTGAGATTAATCAGAATTCTGGGAAAAGTCAGAATGCTGAGATTAAAATCAGAATTTTGAGAATTCTGAGAAAGAAAGGCTAATTTCTGGGATTAAAGTCAGAATTCTGAGACTAAAGTCAGAATCCTGAGAAAAAAGTGAGCATTTTGAGATCAGTCAGAATTCTGGGAAAAAGTCAGAATGTTGAGATTAAAGTCAGAATTTTAAGAATTCTGAGAAGGCTGAATTCTGAAATTAAAGTCAGAATTCTGAGATTAAACTGAAATTATATTTAAAAATCAGTTAACTTTTTTTTATTATTTCTTCAGTAGCCCTAAACATCTTCTGCAGCCTATGGGATTGACTTCCGTATAA